TGCTACAGATTTTATATCTATGGAGTCTGACATCTTTTATCAGGTATTCTTTTTGGCTGTATCTAGGCATAAAAAAATACAAGATACAAAAAACATGACTAATCTCTGGCCACAATTGTAGTAATCACATTGACTCAACTTCAGTTAGCAAATTCAAATGTGCAGTCGCATACTTATGTTGTCAGATTAAACAAGATTATTTCCATACGCCTGTCAGAGGTGTTTGCTTGATCTATTACATCTTATTAGTTACCTGGCACCTGGACCATTAGTATTGTTGCAGATTGTCTAGTCACATCACTTTGGACTAATATGGTGAGATGACATGCCAATTTAACGAGGTAGGACCTATCTAAATTTTTATATGGGCATCATAAAGTTTGATTTTATATTAGTGTGTAGTCACCAGATTTTAGCTCCATCTTAAATTTGTGATGTCATATTCGAGTAATACAACATTTATCTGTAGGTCAAGAAGATAAATGGATGATCACATCAGTGAAATGCTCTGAAGGAAGGAGAATGGAGGGCTGCCATTCTAAGAGGGATCCTTTATGTTTTATTTTTGACTCCCATAGGAACTTGTACTATGAACAAAAATTGTGTCATGACACTCTTTGTAATGAAATAAATTCTTCATACTAAATGGTTGAGTGTGCTTATTTTCTGTTTCAGATGGTCTTGAATTTTTCATTAAATTGTACTAGCATCATCCCTATATTTGTCTAAAAAAATAAATATTTATGATATTAATGATTTAATGTGTTTTATTCCTTGCAACACATATAAGTGTTGCAACAAAGTAAATCAATATGTTGCAACAAACCATAGAAGTAGTTTGCTGATGGTTTGTACAAACACATATAAGCGTTTCCATAACCCATCATTATACGTTGCAACTTTGCATCGGTTATTAGTATGTGTTACCAACAGATAAGTAAGTGTTGCAATAGAGCCTTGCAACACCACTTTAAGCAACGCATATTAGATGTATTGGTATAGACCCTACCAACGCATATATGGACTTTTAGCAACGCATATTTGCGTTGCAAAAGGGGGTGTCATTTTGTAGTGAGTATAAAGAACAGTTTCTCTTTATGTATATCAAAAAATGAGAACACAAGATGCCCACTGAATTTCTATATAGCAAGCCCTTCAGTCAAGGAAAAAAAAGTAATTCTTTGAGTATCTATTCTAAGAAATAATTAATAATAGCAGGTGAGTATCTATTCACAAAAATCGTTGACATCCCCATATTATTCTTTTTCCTAGGAACTATGGCACTATATGCACACATACGGGAACCACTAAGTACGTCTTGACATCCCCATATTATTCTTTTTTCCTACTAGGAACTATGGCACTATGCACACATACTGGAACCACTAAGTCTAAACTATTTTGTAGTTTAGAAAGCTGTTGCCAGTTTGCAATAGCATCGCATTCATTTCATATAACTACTTATCATGAAAAGACAATTTGTGGTAACAGCCTATGATACCTGCAGCACAAAATGTTAATGTATTACAATTGCAAGTTTTGGTATTCACCTCTTGAACCTTCACTAAGCAACTCGCAGATATGGTCCAATGCTCCTTTCTCCCTGCGACTCTTCTCTTCCTTGGACACCAGAAGGGGTGACGTCACCAACAATTGCTGGAGCACCAAAAAGCAAAAAATGAGGATAGGAAAATCTGCACATTGCATTTTTCAAAAATGGAAATTGTCTGGCGGACATCAAAGTGATGGTCGTTTGCTGGCAGACACCCAGTTTTGAGCAGTTTGCCAAAAGACACTTTGCTTTGTTGAAATTAGGCCACAAGACACCACGGCCCGGTTTCAGCTGGTTGAGGGGAAAGAAAATTTTGTTTTGGACATCCAGTGCCCCTGAGCCACACTTGGGTCAACCCCCAACCTGGTCTGGTTGGACCCCAATGGAGGGGATGGCGACGTGGGAGGGGAAGGCAGCGCGGGAGGCCGCTGTCGAAGGGGAAGGCGCGGGCTCTGCCAGCCACGGCTCCACCGGACATGGACGCGAGGGCAGCCTCAACGTCATCCTGGAGCAGGTCTCGCACCGACCGCCCATGACGCTGCTACACGCCATTGGTGACCTCGCACTCGTGACGCCCGTATGATCCACTTCATATCATCATGTGATCATATTGGTTCATCGATCTTGACTTCACTTGCTTTTCACCATTGCATTCGTCCATCGGCGTGAAGTCTTGCTCAAGCTTCACCGCCACGCGGTCCATCGCTCCAAAGTCTCCGACTTGCCCTTCACGCTTGCAACCGGTCTATCAAGCCAAGTCTCCATGACGTGAGCTGGTCGGCGCGACTCTAGGCGAGGGCGCCCCGCTGAAAGGTCCTTGTGTGGTTTTGGCAATTGAGTGACAACCTAGGTGAACTAATTGTGTTTATGTGAGATACACAGGTGATTAGCCCACATGTACATGTGTGTGAGCAACATATGCCATGAAGGTGTAAATGGCTCGGAGATGTTGCAAAGCTCACACATGTGATGATGAAGGAGCTCATTGCACATGAGACATGACATTGAGTCATGTGATCAAGGTGGAGAAGATCAAGACATAACTTGGCTTGATAGACCGGTTGCAAGCGTGAAGGGCAAGTCGGAGACTTTGGAACGATGGACCGCGTGGCGGTGAAGCTTGAGCAAGACTTCGCGTCGATGGACGAATGCAATGGTGAAAAGCAAGTGAAGTCAAGATCGATGAACCAATATGATCACATGATGATATGAAGTGGATAATATCATTGTTGATCGTGTTGGTGCATGTGTTGCATCGACATTGGAGGAGATGGAATGGAATGCGCAAGGCAAAGGTATAACCTAGGGCATTTCATTTCACTGGTCATAGGTGTGTAGAGAAGTTGATGACCGGGTTTAGGATAGATGGCCATACTATCAAGAGGGGCAAACTTGTTTGCATATCGGTCATCTAGTGCCACTCGAGTGATCTAACTTTGCATCGTCGCTAGGATCGAGTGGCGTGGCAAGTTGAGTGGCTAATCCTTTGGAAAATGATTGTGAAAAGCTAACACACATACACATGGTGGTGTACACTTGGTGGTGTTGGCACATTTACAAAGGAGATAAAGTTGGAGTTGATGTGGATCAACTCGGTAAAGAAAAGGGTTTGAAACTTCACCGGCGGAGTGTCCGCCCATAGAGTGCGGACAGTCCGACGGTGCCCTGTACAGAAAAGACAGGGTTTCACAAAGTGCACCGGACGCTGGGGTCATGCGTCTGGTCAGTGGCAACAGTGAAGGCGCAAGCGTCAGTCTTCGACCGGATGCTGGGTCACTTCGTGACCGGACACTGGGTGGGTGCGTTCGGTCTCGCTGACATGGCAACGCAGAGAAGAGGAGAAGGACCGGACGCTGATGCTGCGTCCGATCATGACCGACCGGATGCATCCGGTCGTAGTTGAGTGTCTCTGGAACCTTACTGGAAGTGACCGGACACTGGGGTCCTACGTCCGGTCGTAATCAAACTGATGCGTCCGGTCATGAATGGAACCTCTCTGGAAACGACCGGACTCGGTAGAAGTGCGTCCGGTCTTGGCACTGTGCTATGTCCGGTCATCACTTGACCGTTGAAATCAAGTGACTGAGGTTGAACGGAGGCAACACGTGGCGAGCATCCGTTGACCGGACGCTAAGGTCCTGCGTCCGGTCGATCTGACCCGAGCAGCCGGTCACCCCGAGCTGTGTCTAGTGAAGGGGTACAATAACTCTATTTTCATGGGGGCTATAAATAGAAGTGGTGGTCAGTCTTTGGCCGGTAGCTTGGTAAAGCTGAGCACACTAGAGCCTTGGTGGCTTATGTGGTAGTGCTTGGGAGCCCTCCATCTCACATATGCTTGATAGTGATTATCTGATTGTGTGAGAGAGCGATTCTAGTGCGATTGCATCGTGAGGTTGCATCGAGTGGCACTAGGTGATTGAGTTGCAAGCCGATGGTGCTTGTTACTCTTGGAGGTTGCCACCTCCTAGATGGCTTGGTGGTGGTCTCTGTTGAAGCACGCAAGAAGGATTGTGCGGTGCTCTAGAGAAGAGCTTTGTGAGGGGCATTGTGCACGCCCCTGCGGGAGCCGCGAAGAGCAACTCTAGTTGAGCGTGTCATTGAGCTACCCTCACTTTTGGGGTAGGTTCTTGCGGTGCCCGACGTGCGGGCGTTGTGGGTGATGCCAATTAGCCGCCGAACCACCAAGTGAGCGGTCGACACAATGGGGACTAGCGTGTTGGCAAGCACGTGAACCTCGGGAGAAAAATCACCATGTCAACTTTGTTCTTCCCATTGGTTTGCAATCCCCTTACACAAGCTTGTAATTACTTTCATATACATTATGCTTGTATAGTTGCTCTTGTAATTAGTTAGCTTGTGTAGCTCACTAGTTACCTTATTGCTTGTGTAGCATAGAAGTAGCTCCCTTGCGTGGTTAATTTGGTTTGTGTAACCATGTTAGTCATATTGCTTAGTTTGTGTAGCTAAGTATTTGCGCTCTCTAATTTGGCATTGGTTGCCTTGTTATTGAGCATTGCTAGTGAGCTTAGTTGGCTTTATGCTTTTGCTTACTAGCATGTGTAGGAGCTCCCTCGTTGCTTGAAATACTAGTGGCATATGTTTGTGTGACCTTGCTCCTAGAATTGGATAGGTGAGCTCTAGCTAGCCCGGCACCTTTGTTGCCTAACTAGGATCTTTATAAGGTGCTTGTGAACTTTGATAAAGGGGTATAGTCTTAGCTAGACCGAATTGTTTTAATTCTGTATTTGTTTCGGTTAGCCGACGCGATTAAATTTAGAAATGACTATTCACCCCCCCTCTAGTCGCCATCTCGACCTTACACCCGCTGCCTCCAGCGGGCCGCGAATGTGCGCCGGTGGGCGAGGCCCGGCTGCCTCCACGGCGCCTCGCCAGAACGCTTGTGGGTGAGGCCGCCCCATTGCCTTCATCACGCCCGGTCGGAGGAGCTATGGGCAAGGCTGACCCGCCGCCTCCACTGCGCCCGGCGGAGCTCGCGACCGTGGCTGGCGGAGCCGCGGCTGGAGGAGCCATGGCTGGCGGAGCCCGCGCGCGCAATGAGCTGGACAAGATCATCTTCACCGGCGACGAGATCCACTTCGGCTTCGACTACACCTTCTCGGCTTCCACCCCCACCGCCTTCGCCTCCAAACAATCAGGCCGCCCCTACCCGCTCTCCGCCGCCGTCTTCCTCGCGCCGCACCACAACCTCAAGCACACTGACTTCATCCAGGCCACGCGCCTCCGCTGCATCCCGTACGTCTCCCTTCCCGACCGCAAGACCTTCCTCGACTTCCTCCGCTTTGGCCACAACTCGCCCCCCTCCGCCTTCTAGCTGCAAGAGCCCCACCTCCACCCACCCTCGCCAGCGCCCAAGGACCCTACGGCCGTCGAGGAGGCCACCACGGGGAAGCAAATCCACGCGCTCGAGCGGCCCTTCAAGGACCGCAACGCGATCCTCGACGCCCGCGGCCGCGATTTCCTCGTCGTCTTCTAGGGCGCCGTGCCACGCCAGGACGTGCAGTGCAAGGCCGGCGGCGCCTTCCCCTCCGACAGCGGCCTCACGCGCTGCCTTCCCCTCCCGCGCCGCCATCCCCTCAGTTGGGGGTCCAACCAGACCTGGTTGGGGGCAGACCCAAGTGTGGCTCGGGGCACCGGATGTCAAAAACGAAATTTTCTCTCTCCTCAACCGGCTGAAACCAAGCCGCGGTGTCCTTTGACCTAATTTCAACAAACCAGAGTGTCTTCTGGCAAACTACTCAAAACTGAGTGTCCGTCAGCAAACAACCATCACTTTGGATGTCTGCCAGACAATTTCCCCTTTTTAAAAAGGTCATAGGACTTCAAGCAAAACTGATGCAACTGAGAACCAGTTTGCTTCATACAGGACTGGTATCAGTTGCTTAACCACTGCGTGGAACAAAATGTAGGATGTACTACGTAGTATGTGCATGTGCATATTGGATGCAGGTGATGTCAGATTAGATGATGCCATAAAGGAAGAATCTGTAGATTTTAGCTTAATTACCATGGGTTTCAAGTTTGGTCGCCGGTCAGAGGAGGCGTCCAGGAGGGCACTCAACAGGCATCTAGCGGAGCTGCAACCTGGCTCATTAGTTCTTCTGGAACGACTTATGGGCATAAGAGAAGCATTTTCTGCAGACTTAGAGCGCAGCAATGACACTGCATTAGAGAATTTAAGAAGCATTTTCTGCAGACTTCGAGCGCAGCAATAACACTATGGCGGCGGATCTTGGGGATGGGTTGGGGGCGCCGGTGACTATGGCTGGGAAATGGTCGCAGGATATGGGGGCACTCGCCTCGAATGGGAGGACTGGAGACCGGAGGAGGCGCCACCGCGTCGTGCTCGTCGGGGGAGGATGCAATAAGCGTCGGGTGAGAGCGAGGTCAGGGGGAGGGCGGCGCAGATGCAGAGCGAGGGAGGCGAGCGACGCTGGGGCTTGTGCGTGACTGCGTGCGGGGATTGGGGATAGGGTTTAAGGTGGAGGGATGTTTTTTCTTTTTGTTGGCCTGTTTTCTTGCTGTTGTGTGGGCCACGAAGGAAGAGTCAGCGCGCCGGAGGGGGTTTCCCGCTGTTTCGAGTTTTCGTGACCACGACAGGGTTTATGTTTTTGCTGCAATTTCTCTGTGTAATTAAAACCCAACAAAAAAATATCTTACCACAGAAATAAACTAATTTTCGTGTCGGTGTGTAACACACGCATCTTTTCTGTTACTTTACAATTTTCCTGTCGGTTATCGCCCAACCGACAGAATAATACATATTTTTCTGTCGGTGGAGGCTATATCGACGGGGAAATTCGCGTTTCCAGCAGTGAGGGCGCTCTATATGAAATTGATCGTCTAAAGAAAGAAAAAGGATAATAAACAACAAAGACTTATTAAAGCTACGTACAATAATCCGTATATACTATTATTATCTGCCGTGATATCCATAGAGATATTGTTCTTTATTAGATCGGTTGGATTATCCTTTTTGCATGTCCAACACGTTAGCTAATACAGCTGTGCTGTGCAGCATCCGAGGTGGTGTCCTTTATTACCTGTTGGGTCATCCCCAGACATGATATCAATAAAATTAATATATTTATTTTTTAAACACAATTATCACCATAAAGGCACACACCCTATCTTATCTTTATGAACATTCTCGAGAGTGTCTAGGGTCAGTTTGCTACAATTCTGCTTCATATATGAAAAAAAACTCCTCACGGTAGATACGAATGTGAAATGTTCATATCATCCTTATTTTTTTTCTTTGTTTTCTCCTCTCCTTTTCTCCTTTCTTTTTCTTTCTCTTTCTTTTGTTCACGCGACGCCTCCTGCGGTTATTTTATTTTGTGTCCACCATCTTGTGCAAATCTGTATTATATTATACGACCAAATCTAGTGTACTAGCTAATGCTGCTTTGAAATTTGAACCAGCTTTGAGTATTCTACAAGTCTGCATATGATCCTATGTATACAATCAAATAAGAGCAAAATTACACTACACAAATCTGGATATATACTAATACAGACAACTAATCCGAGCAAAATTAGTATCAAACTTTAACGGAACCACTTGGCACAGAGCAAGTACGCGCGGATATCAATGGCCAAATAGAGGACAAGATGTTTTGACAAAAAAAACTAACAAAACTAAGTAGTCATAATAGAGCATGCTATATGTGTCTTCGTTAGCAAATAAACTAACTAAACAATATGTAGTGACAACGGAGCATTCGGGCGATCTGTCACCGTTAGCATATTTTCTCAAATATGCAAAAGATTTACGCATCTTTATATTAAGATCGAGAAATAGTTAAAGTTACAACGACGCGTCATGAACATGACGCACTATGGGGTTACTGTAATACAATCGGTTCTGCCCTCCCTAGTATAAGGAGATCATGGTGGGCTATTACTCGCTAATCTTACTACCTGGCCAACATATGTGATCAAACGCGCTGGCTTGTGCAGCGCCTCGGTCGCTCTTCTTGTGGGTCTGAGAAGAGCTGTCGCATTGCCTCAGCATGCAAGAGGTTGAGCTAGTTGACAAAGATACTGTCGTAGGTGTTCTGGGCTGTCGTGGAATGACTCATCTGTCCGTCGATGAATCCCATCCGCTTCATCGCTAGCACCTCTCCCCACTTAGAATCTCATCTACCTCATCACTAGCACCTCTCCCTGCTTAGAAGTCGGGACGCATGAAAGCGCCTCAGCGACGACCCTCCTACTACGGGTTGGCAACTTTGGTGCCTCCACAGTCGGCTGAGGCAGCGTCAGCGACGGCAGTGCCTTACGCAAAATCTTGTCAGTGAAATGCTTTAGGTTCTACTTGGTGATGGAGCTCCCACGTTCAGCTTGCCCGGGAAGGGTGGTCATCTCCGCAGGTGGGGTTTACGGGCATGCCTCGGCATCCATGACGTGGGGCTGTCCCCCTTGCGGTGGCCGGGTAGGGGTGGCCACACCCGCGCCTGGGGGGATGTTGCTGTAGTCTGGGCACCCCACGACCTCCATGACGTCGGGCTGCCCCCCACGGCAGCGTGGCTCGAGGGGCAGTCACCGTGGCGGGCAGGCACCCAGGCATTGGTGCCCCTGCTGGTCGACTCACTACGAGCGAGGCGGTCAACTCCTCCAACATTGGGTTATCCCACTCGTGATGCCCCGCACTCACGCACATCTCCAGCACCAGCGGATCTAGCGCATGGAGGTAGTGTGCGGCAGCAGAGGTAGTAGCATTATCGGTGAAGTCGGCAGGCACGTCCATGTTGGTGTCCCTCGCCGGCTTACTCCGGCGCCGCCAATGTTGTTGTCGTATTCTGCTAGCGCCCCCCGCAGCCCCTGCACAGTAAAAACCGATCTCGGTGGGCCGCCATGATCCGTGTGCTTGGGGGGTGGCTCGTCGCCATGAGCAGTGTGTCATGATATGTCACCACTCTTCGCCTTCTTCGTCATAGCAGAGACCTGGGCCACTTGCAATCCCTGGCAAGGTGCGGAAGCTGTGGCAGCGCAGGCAACGCCATGGCAACCGACAAGTCGTTACTCTGTGCGAGTAGGAGATGCTGTTGAAACATCTGTCACGAAGCTCCAGGGGGATCCTTTGGGCCTGCGGGAGTTGCTCTGGGCGAGGCTCAACCAAGGTGGCCATAGGTCACGTCTCCCATCGTGGGAGGATCTCCCGCCATCCATCAGCATTCAGAGTGGAGACCCTTCCGTGATGGCCGAGACATTAGCGGGATGGGATGCAGCCATCCACTGGCCGAGCAGGTATGCCACACACTAGCTTGGGTTGCCGCCGTCTACGACTTTGTCGTCTTCGCCCATGTACCTATCATCCAGCGTCCGCCCTACCACGGCCCAGAACCACGATTGAATGAATCTAGGCGCTGCAGGGACACAATTACTGGCTTCGCTGGTCGACAGACAACATCTAGGTAGGTTATTGGGTGGTCGTCGTCGGACTCCTTACCAGTCGTCCACCCACCGACGGTGCTTCGTGCGCTCTCTCGAAGGTGGGTAGAATGGAGCCGAGTCGGTGAGAGCGTAGATCCCAACGTCGTTAGCGGTGGGGACGGGGAGGGGATCTACGAAGGTGCTCTAGTGTCGGGTACCACTGGGGCAGGCTCGACGTTGGTGGTGACTGCGGCAGTGGGGCCCTGTGTTGTCGGTTGCGGGGATGGGCGGTGGAGAGCGTGGAGTCCGGCATCGACGGTGGCAGGGACAGGGAGGGAGCCCACTGACAAGCTCCTGCTCCGGTTCCCACGAGCACTACTAAAAAAACTTAACCGAGGCGTTTGGCAAAGGGGCTCGGAGGCGGGCAGACTTTTGAACCACCTTAGTTAATGCTAGGGATTAACCAAGGCAGTCATTTTTATTAATCGAGGTGGTCACAATTAACCGCCTCACAAAATCTATTTATGGAGGCGGTTAAAAAATAACTACCTCCTAAAATTTATTAACCGAGATGGGCCTTATAAGAGGCCCACCTCCAAAAATCAGGCTATTTTTGGAGGAGGACCTCTTAGGATGCCTGCCTTCGTAAAAAGGCCCGAAGCCCAGCAGGCCCAGGAGGCCCGTTACTTATGTGCCAGTATATAAGCATCACTTAGGGTTTGGGAGTCTCCACTCACTCAGCCCAACTCTCTCTCACACCTCTCTCTTTCTCAACACTTAGGGCGAGCGGCCGGCGAGCCTCTCTGTCACACCTCACACTCTCTCAGGATGGATGCGGCGGTGCGTGCGGGCAAAGACGGCGCACGCGGATAGAGCGGCAACGGCGACGCACGTGAGTGGGGCGCGTGGCGAGCCTCCTCAGATTCAGCACCCTTC